GTGCTGATTTGGACAGGTGTTCTTTATTAATTAATACCTATATAAGACAGCACTTTTGCTGTTTTCTTTGTTATGATTAAGCACGAGATTGTGGGAAATGCGTTAACAAGTCCTGTATTCTTGTCCTGGTGTTTTGTGTGTCCTATGGATCAATAAATACACGCTATATTCATCTATCCTCTGGTGTGCGGCTGACCCTTCTTCTTGTTGCATAGAGTATGCATACATTGCAAAATAACAGAAATCAGATTATGAACACTGCACAAACATGGACTCTTTACAGCAATATCTCAATGAGGGTAACATGTGGCTGCATAGCATAGTCTCTAGAAGTCTCTAAAGCTGCAGGGAGTGTAGCTGAGAAGTACTGCAGCAAAACAGCACATGCAATTATCCTCATAAATAGCATCCCTCACAGTGGAGTCTAGGGTGCCTCTGGTAACACAGATGAACAGCTGAAAGGATCTAAGGTCCAAGGGCAAAGGGCCACCCCACTGGAACTGCAATGCTCTGGTAGCAATTGTGACTTAATGGGCACTACAGTTTTAACTCTGCAATGTAATAATATAACTTTATTATATACTCTAATGTATAATATTAAGACATTTATTATATAATAAAATGTCCTAATTAGAAAAGAAAATTATCTTTGAAAAGTAAAATATATCAACGTTAGCACAGCAAGACAGTAATGAGTTTATCTAGGATATATGAAAGATCAGCTTATATTTTGCAACTGAATTGAATCCTACAGCTTCAACAGTTCTCTGTTCAACATGCTCATTGTTAAGTACGAAATACGGTGAAAGCACATAAGCCTACAATTGCAATATCATGTGGGAAATGAGAAAAAAAAATACAGAAGTAGAATGCAAAGTGACAAATGTTTTTATTGTATTACATTTATTATAAGTCATACCTACTTTATAAATATTTGCCCTGAAAGGGTTAGTTCACCCTAATAAAACAAAACCACTATACAGTTACATTACACCATAGCAGCACCCTATGCTAATCAGATCTAACATTCATGCCTCACATTTATTTGTTTCAGGTACTTATATAGCACCATCAATTTACACAGCATGTTATATATATTGTACATTCACATCAGTCCCTGTCCTCAAGGAACTTACAATCTATGGTGCCTAACTCACATTCATACACATACTAGGGTGAGTTTGGACAGGAGTCAATTAACCTACCAGCATGTCTTTGGAGTGTGGGAGGAAACCAGAGTACCCAGAGGAAACCCACGCAAGCACAGAGAGAACATGCAGACTCCAGGTAGGTAATGGCTCACATCTGGTAACATACCTGTGGACCAGGGACGGACTGACCATTTGGAAACTTGGGCACTGCCCGAGGGCCCAGGGTCAGTAGGGGGTCCCATGAGATGCCCCTGGTACCTTTTTCATAGGCTTGGGTTTGGGCAAGGACACAGGGGCCCCATGATCCCCTATTGCCCCGGGGGCCCCATGAGTTGTCAGTCCACCCCTGCTGTGGACCATATTTTTGATAACAAATGCCTACCAGAAAAATTGCCACTGCCTTGCATGGCTCCATTAGTGACATCTTGCTTACTACTTTGCATGTGATCACTGATTCGCCAATCAGTGATCACATGACCGGGACCTCGTACAGAGGTCCCGTCCGACGATCGGTGTTTCACTGTGTCCGGAGGACACAGCGGACACCGGATCGCGGTGGTGCGCGCTCTTAGGGAGCGCGCACAGCTAGAAAAGGCGGGTGCCGTTTAGGAACGGCAACCCGACCCTGGACTGCCACCGCCCTGCCGTTTATAAACAGCAGGCGGACGGCAAGAGGTTAAGAAAAAACTGTTCTAGGAAATAACCATAGGTTCACATTTTATAATATTGCTCACAAAATAAGTTCAACGGAACATTACCATCAGTCCCACCCCTCAAGCCAGAGTACTAAGTGTCATCCTAGACTCCAATCTGTCCTTCCAGCCCCAGGTCCAATCGTTGACAAACTCATGTAGACTTCACCTCCGCAACATCTTCAAAATACGTCCGTTCCTAACCCCGGAAACCACTAAGCAACTCATTCACACCCTTATTATATCACGACTTGACTACTGTAACGCCCTCCTCATCGGCTTACCTCACCGCAGGCTATCCCCACTTCAGTCTATCTTGAATACTGCGGCCAGACTCATCCACCTTACTAACCGCTCCGTATTTGCCACCCCCCTCTGCCAATCCCTCCACTGGCTCCCGATTGCCCAACGGATAAAATTCAAAATGCTAACATTGATATATAAAGCTGTTCATAATACTGCCCCAAACTACATCACCGATCTGGTATCCAAATACCACCCAAAATGTACTCTCCGCTCCTCACAAGACCTCCTACTCTCTAGTTCCCTGGTCTCCTGTCAGGGCAGGGCTGTGGAACGGACAGGTAGGCCTAGTGGCAGGGTAACGCATGGCTGACGACAACCACCACCAACAGACTGAAGTCCCTCAGGGCGCGGAGTCTAAGTCCCAGGCTGCCCTTCACCAGGGCCCCTGATGGTGGGGATGGACTTGACGCAACCAGGGACCAGGTCGCGGCCCCCGAGACACCCCAGCTGCGGTAATGGCCGCCGCCAATGGCGTGTAGCTGGTGAGAATGACAATAGCGTAGTCAGACAAGCCGGGTCAATAACAACGGGACAAAACAGTACAGAACAGTAGACAGAGAATCACAGGTCACGGGCCGGGTTCAGCAACGGAAGGTCAGATCAAAGGGAAACACAGAGAATGGTCTTAGTCACAAGCCGAGTCAGAATACCAGAAGAGTCACGAGCGTATACACAGAGCTGTAGCAAGACAAAGACACAAGACACAAGTGCAAAGAGCATGTGCAGATCCCAGGCTTATATGTACTCAGCCACACCCCTCTGGGGGATGGACCTCAGAGACCTGAAGGCATAAAAGATTCCCATCATGCTCAGCAGAAATCCAAGATGGATGCTAGCACATGAAGTAACATAACCTCTGGGAAAAGGTAGGACCTTGACATCTCCTCCTCCCATGCTCGTCTCCAGGACTTCTCCAGGGCTTCCCCCATCCTCTGGAACTCCCTACCCCAATCCATCAGACTATCACCTACTCTGCTCATCTTTAGGCGCACTCTGAAAACCTATCTCTTCAGGGAAGCCTACCCCGCCCTCAGCTAATTACTGAACTCCTCCACTCTTCCTACCACTCCATCCCCCACAGCTATTTCCTCCTGTACCACTATCCCCTCCCTCCTAAATTGTAAGCTCCAAGGAGCAGGGCCCTCGAACCCCTCGTGTATTGAATCGTATTGTTACTGTACTGTCTCGTGTACTGTCTGCCATTATAATGTACAGCGCTGAGCAAACTGTTGGCGCTATATAAATCCTGTGTAATATTAATAACATTAACAGAGTCTTTCATTGTGCTAAAAACAAAACAAAATGTAGGTTAATAATTTGTTTAGTGTATTATTGAAGTGCAAAGTTAAATGTGATCCAATTCAGAGTGCATGTTACCAAAGTTGCACTAGGATGTTATGGGAAAGTGCAATGTTCTAACAGGAAGGTAATAGACCCTAATGCTAGTTACATTCCGATTAGTTCAGACTTCTCTTTCCTGGCTGCTACCAGACTGATGTGCAACAAATATGACTTCTACTGGTAAATCTGAATGCACATGGGTCATCCAGATATGTAGGTGCTGATCCCTCATCTAAGTGGAAATTCAGGAGCTTATTACTTTCGTCAACCTAATTGCTCAATGTCCAAGAGAATATCTCTTAGTGTTAGAGAAGGTCTAAAATTTTTTTTTTTTTTTTTAATAAATATTTTATTTATTTTCAATAAATCACATTACATCGTTAAACATTTCTAAATATTCAACAATACACAATTCCCTTATACCTCTAAAAAAAAGAGAACCCACCCCCTTGCCCCCCTCTGCTCCCCAATATTTTCGCTCTTATCTCCTCGCTCCACTTCTTAACTCTCCACTCTCAAGGCATCCTTCTCTTTCTTCCTTTCTTATCTCCTCCCTATCTTTCTTTAAATTCCTCTTTGAACTTATCCCATTTCTCCCACCTTTCTCTAAATCTCACCATTCTAACTTCTTCCTGATGGTAGAGTTCCTCCATCCTATATACATAGTCAACCCTATGTATCCAGTCTTTTTTTTTGGTATTTCCTGCTCTTTCCAAAATGTAGGTATTAACCCTTTAACCAAAATTTAGGTATTAACCGCTTTAGAGAAGGTCTAAAATTCTGTGCAGATATATTACCGCTACACTGGCACCTAATCTCTGCCTCAACAATAAGTCCTACCTTTGGTGGTAAGACTTTTATAAGCACCCTGTGAAAGTGATCTTACTGAATGGCAGGATCACTTCGGGAACTACAAATGATGATGTGTAACTGGGACAACTTTATGGCTATTTGTGCTACATTCAATTAAACTGTTCCTAATATAATGCTGCTTCAGATCTGATTCTGGATATAGTTGTAGCCAGGTCTGCAATCCTGACAGGAAAAGTATTAAAGGATTCTGTGTCTGGCAGCAGAAGAAGCTTTTACACAAACATTGCTACAGGAAGAGACTCTTTTTGTAGAGTCAGTGTTGATCCTGCCCTCTACCCAATGGGAAAGCACACGGGATGTGGACTGCAAGGAATGTGGGAGGTGTAGTTCTGCCAGACTGAGATGCACTTGGTGATCTGGAAGGAGGAGACTGCAGATCCCACAAGGCATTGCGGTAAATAAGAAAGGTTGCTTCTCCCAGGCTGAGAAGTGTGGAGGCTGTTCTGAGAGGACTGAGTGCACCTTTGCATGTTTGTAGACTGCTCACTGATGCACCTGAGAAGGAGACAGGTACAGTGACAGACATCTAAGGACTTTAGAGAAAGCCACAGATGTTGGTGGAGCCTTCTACCTGACCAAAGGGGAAGAACACTTGGGATACCGACCGCCTATGCTTCACACAGTAAACAAGGAGATCACCTGCTGACACAGGAGTTGGTGAGAGGCAACTGGCAACAACCACATTACACTTTGACCACAGAGGGACAGTGTTGTCTTCAAGTAACACAGAGTCGGTGCCTGCATGAGTTTGCGCAGTGCGCAGAAATTGTTGGCACCCTTGATATTTCTCCAGGAAATCATGTATTTCTCACGAAACGTATTGCATTAACACATGTTTTGCTATACACATGTTTATTCCCTTTGTGTGTATTGGGACAAAAACAAAAAAAGGGAGGAAAGAAAGCAAATTCGACATAATGTCACACAAACCTCCAAAAATGGGCTGGACAAAAGTATTGGCACCCTTTCACAACTGCGGATAAATAAGAATGTTACAAGCATGTGATGCTCCTGTAAACTCACCTGGGGCAAGTAACAGGTGTGGGCAATATAGAAATCACACCTGAAAGCAGATAAAAAGGAGAGACGTTCACTTAACTTTGCATTGTGTGTCTGTCTGTGCCACACTAAGATGGACAACAGAAAGAGGAGACGAGAACTGTCTGAGGACCTGAGAACCAAAATTGTGGCAAAATATCAACAATCTCAAGGTTACAAGTCCATCTCCAGAGAACTAGATTTGCCTTTGTCCACAGTGCGCAACATTATCAAGAAGTTTGCAACCCATGGCACTGTAGCTAATCTCCCTGGTCGTGGACGGATGAGGAAAATTGATGAAAGATTGCAACGCAGAATAGTCCGGATGGTGGATAAGCAGCCCCAAACATGTTCCAAAGACATTCAAGCTGTCCTGCAGGCTCAGGGAGCATCAGTGTCAGCGCGAACTATCCGTCGACATTTAAATGAAATGAAACGCTATGGCAGGAGACCCAGGAGGACCCCACTGCTGACACAGAGACATAAAAAAGCAAGACTACAGTTTGCCAAAATGTACTTGAGTAAGCCAAAAGCCTTCTGGGAAAACGTCTTGTGGACAGATGAGACCAAGATATTAAAGCACATCATTCTACTGTTTACCGAAAACGGAATGAGGCCTACAAAGAACAAAACACAGTACCTACGGTAAAATATGGTGGAGGTTCAATGATGTTTTGGGGTTGTTTTGCTGCCTCTGGCACTGGGTGCCTTGACTGTGTGCAAGGCATCATGAAATCTGAGGATTACCAAAGGATTTTGGGTCGCACTGTAGGGCCCAGTGTCAGAAAGCTGGGTTTGCGTCCAAGATCCTGGGTCTTCCAGCAGGACAATGACCCCAAACATACGTCAAAAAGCACTCAGAAATGGATGGCAAAGAAGCGCTGGAGAGTTCTGAAGTGGCCAGCAATGAGCCCAGATCTAAATCCCATGAACACCTGTGGAGAGATCTTAAAATTGCTGTTGGGAAAAGGTGTCCTTCCAATAAGAGAGACCTGGAGCTGTTTGCAAAGGAAGAGTGGTCCAAAATTCCGGGTGAGAGGTGTCAGAAGCTTATTGATGGTTATAGGAAGCGACTGATTTCAGTTATGTATTTTTTCCAAAGGGTGTGCAACCAAATATTAAGTTAAGGGTGCCAATACTTTTGTCCAGCCATTTTTGGGGTTTTGTGTGACATTATGTCATATTTGCTTTTCTGCCTCTGTTTTATATTTGTTCCAATACATACAAAGGGAATAAACATGTGTATAGCAAAACATGTGTTAATGTGTGAAATACTTGATTTTCAGGAAAAATATCAAGGGTGCCAACAATTTCGGCCATGACTGTATATATATAGATATATATTACAGTATGGTCCTGTGTTATTGCTGTAGACTCATTGTATCTCTTATCTATCCACCATTGGGCTACTGCCTATACATCCGTATTAAATATTCCACACCCAGCCAGGTGTGTACGAGTGGGTGATGCTATTTGCAGAGTTGTGGACACAGGAACAGGGGCCTGTTACTTCCAGTGGCTCCTTCAGGGTGTGCACTACACAGTATTAATTGTACTATTCTATAAAATGATTTACTGTAGAACCCCGCTGCTGAAAATTTCATATATGGGTAAGAGCATGGCTACATTAGCTCTAACCTAATACTCAGACTGTGCCATCATATGCTGATTGCTGAATGCTAAATAAGCTGACTTGGTTCTCCATTTATCATTACCTAGCCAAAAAAGGCTGCCAAAAGGCTATCACCATCTGCAGCTGTCTGCTGAGCTGCCACTCTTGACTATACTATATCAAACTTTAAGTCACGTACTACCTGAAATTTTATGCAACCCAATACTTCCCACCCCAGGAGTACAACTGCCATAGTATTACTTTTTCTTCATTGAATATCACTGGTTGTTTGCTTTAAATCTGATTCCAGTTAACCAGGTTGATAAGGTGCATATGTTTTTAAATAATCTCTAATATAATTTGTACAGATAATAATAGTTATGCAACATGGATATTATAAATGGTGATGATTATACTACATGCTTATCTGTCTTACAACTAAGTTTACACTAAGGCTCCATTCACATCTGAGCAACTTCTTTTCGCGGGCACCCATGGAACATAAGTAAAGCATGTGTTGCACTTGCATTGCTATTCATTGTTCATGGCACCCCAAACACATCAAGCAGATGCGCAAACATGCCAAAATGTGTTGTTAAAAAACACATGAAGCTCAATGCCCAGAAAAATACAGAAGCTGTATTGACATGTTTGTCAGACATGGGGCAGCCCATTCAAATAAATGAGTTGCTATCTGTGTGTAGCATGAAAACGCATCAAAAAAGCATGAAAAGACACGTGTTCACAATACATTAGGTGCAAGCCTAAGTTCCAGGTTATGCAATACAACCACCTCCACAATGAGACTGTAAAACATATGCTTCCTTTAGTTCTTATTTTTGGTGCTGTCAGCGACCCGTCAGCTAAAAGAGCCAAAGCAAAAACTACAAGGTAAATAGTAGTTACTATAACTGATCCAACAGTTATCAGCTGCTTTTGGATACAGATATTTCTGATCTATATTCTTCATTTGAGGCAAGTGTAAATGTTTATCCCCTGTAAAAGGTGCCTTTGTAAAAGTCAAGATACAGTACGTTATTTTTATTGTATTGGAACTAAACTTGTGGGTAGACAACCTGATGTTAACCAACACTATAATGTGATTACTTGCTTGGATGTACAGTACCTCCATTGCTTTGGAAAAGGGAGGATGGCATGCTTAACCGCTTTGCGCCGATGTCACACAAATATGCGGCCTCACAGAACTGGGCTTTTTTCCATGGGGCCGCATATTTGCGTACCTGTCTTTTTGCTGGGAGCACGCTGGACAGCGCACTCGCAGCACAAAGACCAGGGTGTCACTGAGAGCCCTTTCTAACGATCGGGACCCTGGACTCCCGATTCCAGGTCACATGATTGCTGTGATAGACTCTGATTGGCTATCACAGTGATCAGTCACTGTACAGCCTGGCCCCCTTGTATTTTTTTTTCTCTCTATGAATGGAGGAGAGAGATACATTGTATCTCTCTAACTCCTGAGATAGAGGGGGAAAAAAAAGTTTGTTAAATATAAATAAATATTAAAAATATAAAAGAAAAAATAAAGAAAAAATACCTAGATCAAGGTTTGATCTAGTTCAGTGCTAGGGTAAGTGTTTGGGTCAAGGTTAAAAGGTCAGGGTCAAAGGTCAGGAATTTGTTTTATTATTTTTTTATTGGTATCGGTGTCAGTGTGTTTTAGGTAAGAAAAAAAACAAAAAAAAAAAAAAACAAAATTGTTTCTGGGCTGTACTACGGGAACAAACAACATACACATATATGGTATCGCTGCGATCGTCAAGAGCTGGAAAATGTATTTTGGGTTGTTCTTTGGTGGTAGGTTATGGTAGTAACAAGAAACACACAGCTACATTAAACAAAATTATTTTGTTTTTTACTATTTTGGGCCAGTTTTCCTTTGAAAAAAAAAAAAAATCAGGCGATATCCATTACCATTTACCACCAAATGAAAGCCCAATTTGTCCTGAAAAAAACAAGGTATAATTCACCTGGATGTACAAAGTAGTTGTGATGATATGTACGGTTTTACTTACATATGTCAACGTTGCAAAATTGTGCTTAGGCATTTAGATTTGTTTTACCCTTAGGCATGAAAGGGTTCCAATAAATTAGTAAAGAGAAAAAAAATAGAAATCAATATATTATACCTGCGCACTAATAATCTAACTGTAAGCAACTGCTGTACTACTCACTTAATATATATCTATATGAAAAGAAAAAATTGGAAGCTGCTATACTGAACTGAGTGTTTTTAGAAGGATTGGCACCTTAAGGATTGGCACGTTTGGGGAGCGGGGGGGGAGGGGGGAACGGGTACCTGAATTTGTCAGGTACCTGCTCCCACTGAGATCGCCTGGGCGATTGGAGGCAGAAGTTGTCCTCCTACCCTCCCTCTTCGTAGTCTTTTGGGACATGTGACAGGTCCCAGAAGACTACGGGGCCATTCAGGAAGCTCAACGCTACTCGCGCATGCACAGTGGGCACCCAGCTGTGATGCCGCAAGCTGTCACAGCCAGGTGCCCACACTGAAGATGCCGGGGCCTGGAATACAGGATGGCGGGTAAAATGGGCTGAGGCGGGGCAATGCACGATTGTGGGACAGGTGAGTGGCTGTTTTGTAAAAGTCAGCAGCTACAGTTTTTGTAGCTAGCTGCTCACTTTTATTTCTTTAAAGAGTGAGAGGAACTGCGCTTTGGGTTCAAATAGTGGAGAGTACCTAATAACATCCAATAACTGATTTTGGTTTGCTGTGTTTTACACAATATAACAATAGCATATGAATAATACATAGAGATAGATGAGGTTATATCATAGCAGTTAATATGAATCTTCTCATACAAGTCATAAATCAGCAGGTCCTGCTGAATGTCTTTCGATGGCTTGCTTCTCCCCTGCTGACATTGTGCATTCCTGGTCACACTATAGCCATATTGTGTCTTGGCATCTCCTTCTGAAATGAGTACTTCTTTTCAAAGCAGCTGCCTCGTATTTACTGTGCGCCTGCTGGTATCTATGACGGTATGTTCAGAGGAGCAGATCAGTGGCTCTGCATTTTGTAGGTCATGTGTCTTAATTTCAGTAACTTCTTCAAGGTTAATAAGGCAGGTACTCTGGAAAAAAAAAAAAGAATAAATCGTTACGTATTTGTTAACAGGTATATAGCACACATCATAATACCTAAAAACCAGACCAAAGAAGCAATCAAATATTCCCATAAAATAAACGTTTATGCATAAATGGCAAGACAGTTGCAGAACCTTTATAAATTTAAAATAAAAGTGGCATAAGAAGGCGTGATATAGAAATACTGTGTACTGTAGCTTACTTCCTTCTATGAATCCATTGCAGTAAACTTCTAAAAGTCATGCTTTTTTTTGCATACAAATAACAAGCAATACACTGAACTATAGAGTTGCATACATTTCAAAAAGAGAAAACGTCTGTACAGGAATCAAAACAAATAAGATGGTGTTGCGCTAATATCAATAGTACTAAGGACACAATAATTCGAACAGTGGGGAGACAGAAAAAATAACCCCAAAACAGAGGTGATAAGTATAAAGGCCTGAATCCAGACCTAATTGGGTGCAAGATGAACTGTGACAAAGACAACGTGAGTAATAATCAGCAAGTGAACATAAATAATACAAATGTAAAGGCCTGAACCCAGACCAGACTAAGTGCAATATAGATTGTGATGAAATACAAAGTGAACAATAGTCAACAAGTGAACATAAATAATGTATTCAACATAATAGGACTAACACATCCTAAATAAAGGTGCACAAAAACACTGTGCAAAGATAAATGTGCCAAAATCAAATAGCAAACAAAATATGTGCAAAAACTAATCATACAAGGTGCATGAAACTAAAAATGCACCTTATAATCAGGATTGATGCCAGTGAAAAACGCACAGTGGAAATAAACGTGCGTCAATAAGCACAAAATATAATTAAAGCAATGTGACATATAACAAATATATGGTGAGGAAGGCCATATTCTCACAGTTCAGCTACTGTACGGCTATTGCTCTGCTCTGATCTACAAATGGACTCGGAACCATAAAAAGGCCACCATAGTGTAGTAATTTAAAATCATCAAGATATTTATTAGAATTGCACTCACATAGACAACTATATTAATTTGCAAAAGGTACAGATCACAGCTCGTATTCAGCGTCTGACACAAGTGCCTGACCTCACAAATGCGCTTCTGGAAGAATGGTCAAACATTCCCATAGACACACTGCTAAACCTTGTGGACGGCCTTCCCAGAAGAGTTGAAGCTGTTATAGCTGCAAAGGGAGGGCCAACTCAATATTGAACCCTACAGACTGAACTAGGATGCCATTAAAATTCCTGTGCGTGTAAAGGCAGGCGTCCCAATACTTTTGGCAATATAGTGTACAATATCAAATATGGATATATACAGTATATATATATATATATATATATATACACACACACACATATATATATATACACATATATATATATATATATATATATAATTATTTTTTTTTGTGCAAAAAAAAAAAAAATACTGTATTACAATTAAGTATGAACAACAGAGGATATTTGGAAGCTTAAATTGTTAAAATTGTTAAAAGTGTGTGGCATCATGTATCATTGTATGTAGTTGGTCCAATAATTTTTAGAGACTGTTCTGCATTTACTATTTATTTATTATAGGTACTTATATAGCGCCGTCAATTTACACAGCGCTTTACATATATATGTTGTACATTCACATCAGTCCCTAACCTTCAAGGGGTGTACAATCTAAGTTCCCTAACTCACATTCATACATACACATACTAGGGCCAATTTAGACAGGAGCCAATTAACCTAACAGCATGTCTTTGGAGTCATTGATTCGTATTTTTCGTGATTTGGCCAGCAACAGTGATGTAGAAGGAGCTTCCTATTGCAGGCTGACAATGCTAAACCAGTGCCTGGCAATTAGCAGTGGCATTGTCTGCCTGCCATGTGCGCTCTTTCATTTGACAACAGGACATAGCATCTCTGAAGTCTCACAGCTAACAAAGCATGGCATCCTCTTCTAACAGAGAAGAGCAAGAATGTATAGTACAGGATAACCTGGCCAAACTCATAGCTTGTCACTTGCTTATATTTTAAGCGACAGTTTCCAGTGGAGGAAAGGGATATGATGAGAAGCTGAAGGTTATGGTTATGTTAATCATGATGCTAGCAAGTGATCTGATATTGAGCTGCACAAAAAAAGATGGTCTGCATCCCTCACACAAGGGCACTGAGCTTCTTAGTAGCATTACACCGATACCAATACCAGTATCAGTATTATTGCCGATACTAAGCATTTGCACGAGTACTTGTACTTGTGCAAATGCTTTGATACTTAGACCGATACCCATATGTCCACAGACTGTAACCACCGCCTATATGGAGAAAGACCCAGGGACTTTGAGCAGGTCAGACGTGACATCCAGACAGCAAAAGCTCTGCCAAGTGCTCTCCAGCTACACTAGCAGGGCAGAGGCAGGTGAGCTGGGTGTTAAGTGTAAAAAAAAAATGCATCCAAAGGCAATGCTTGATTTTATGTTTGCTGGCCTTCCAATACACCACCAGGGCAGAGTTATAGCAAATAAATGTAAAATAAATAAGTTAAAAACATAAAAATAGTGTAATTTAATATTTAATTTGTAAATGAATATATGCATTCATACACTGCTGGGCTCAGGGGCGGACTGACAACTCATGGGGCAATAGGGGATCATGGGGCCCCTGTGTCCTTGCCCAAACTCAAAAAAAAGCCTATGAAAAAGGTACCAGGGGCATCTCATGGGGCCCCCTACTGACCCCGGGCCCTCGGGCAGTGCCAGAGTTTCCAAATGGTCAGTCTGCCCCTGGCTGGGCTACCACTAAATTACCAGGGCAATGTCTTTTGGGTTACAGTTCTTAATTGTTATAAAGAAAACAGTAATAACGTTTCATTAGTTGAAAAAAAACTGTCATATGACACTAAAAATAGGTAATGTAATTGGTACTCATTCTTGGTCTTAAAAATCAGGTGTCGGTGCATCCCTACTACTTAGTATGGAATTTAGGAGTTTTTTCAAGAAATGGGGCAGAGATGTAATTCATGAGGAGCATTTCTGTCCCTAGCAGGTTAAAACAAATGTGAGGGTTTGTGTTGCTAAGGACTGGGCTGATGGGGTAGTTACTTCAGTTAAAGTTTCTTGTGCTATAAATAAAGCAGTAGATAGCAATGTTTGTCACGTCATGTGCACTAATGTACTTAGTTTAGGCAACAAGCTTTGTGAGCTGACAGCTCTTATGTCTAGGGACAACTTGGATCTTGTTAAAATTACAGACTTTGTTAAATTTTTCAGATATCGGTGAAATAACTATACATGGTTACACACTATACAGGAACGACAGAGTAGGGAAGACGGGAGGCGGAGTTGCCATATATGTCAAAAACAGCATAACGGTAACATTAATTAAAAAAAACAAATTAAATGCTCAAAACCCTCTGGGTCTGTGTTCCAACCAGAGAGAGATCTTCCCTTAGAATTGGTGTAGTATACAGACCCCCAGGGCAGAATGAAGATTATGATAACTTGTTGATTTAAAAGAGAACTCATATGGCAATAAATGGAGAGGTTTAAGTTATGGGTGACTTCAAAATGTCTGACATAAAATGGAATGCTCAAACTGCCATTACAAGCAGAAGCAGAGTTGTAATGGAGACAATGAATGAGGTTTCTCTGAAGTAGTTAGTAAAAAGCCTAACCCGAGGTTATCATATTCTAGACCTAGTGCTGACAAATGGGGATCAATTGTCTGATGTTGAGGTGGGAGAAAATTTGGATTCGAGTGATCACAATGTCTTTGGTTTTATAATAAAGAATAACTGAAAAATCATATGCAAAAAACTAAAGTTTTAGATTACAAAAGAACAAAGTTTGCTGAAGCATGGGATTTTCTAAAAAAATTAATGGAAAGCTTGGAATAAAACAACAAGAGTCAATAATCAGTTGGCATTGTTAAAGTTTACCATAGTGGAGGCAACTAAACAATATGTCAGGCAAATTAGTAAGAGTAAATAGAAGAAAAAAAAACAATATGGTTTACTAAAGAGATAAGAAGAATAGTAAAGGAAAATAAATTAGCGTACAGGAGTCTCATGGAAACACAAGGTTTAGTTGATAGAGAAGTGTATAGAAAACAGAGAAAAGGAGGCCAAACACATTATCAGTGCTATCAAAGCACAAAAAGAGAAGGAAATTGCTAAATCTATTAAGAAAAGGAGAAAAAAATCTTTTTTAGGTACATCAGCAATAGAAGGAATAAATACAAAGGGGTCACTAAAATGAAAACTGGGCACAACACTTATGTTGAGAGACACCTGGATGTAGCAAACTATTTAAACAATGACTTCTATTCAGTCTTCTCAGAAATAAATTGTACTAGCAATAACAAGCTGGGGAATCATATTGGATCTAGTAAAGATGGTTCATTTTTAGGATTTCTGGAGACAGATGTGCCAGAGGAACTGGTTATTAAAGCTTGATAAAGCAAAGGGCCCTGATGGTATTCATCCTAGAGTTCTAAAAGAACTTTGAGGTATAGTTGTTGGACCATTAATGGATCTTTTTGATTAAAAGAGAAATTCCCATGACTAGCAGACAGCTAATATTGTACCTATCCACAAGAATGGCAGCAAGATAGAAGCTGGCAATTACAGGTCAGCTAGTTTAACATCGGTTGTAGTCAAGTTAATGCAATCATTTCAGAAAAGAAGTATCAGTGATCACCTAAAAATATACAGCTTCCTGGACTCAAAGCAGCATGGCTTTACTGAGAACAGAATATATCAGACTAATCTGACTTTTTTTTACTATATCACTTTAATGTTTTGGACCAGGGTGGGACTATGGGCATAGGCCTTCCTGATTTCAGTAAGAAATTTGATACAGTTCCATATAATGATCTAATACAAAAGTTGTACAAGCTAGGACTGAACCCTTGGGTGGTTCAGTGGATATGCAGTTGGCTAAAGGATAAATACCAGATTGTGATTGTAAATGGGGTTCATTCAGAACAGAGGCCAGTTACTAGTGGTGTACCACAAGGACCTGTTTTAGATCCTGTTCTATTTCATATACAGTATATATGTAAGTGATATAACCAAAGGTTTATTGGGTAAGGTATGTCTTTTTGCCAACACAAAAATATGCAATAGGGTATATATCCCTGAAGGTGTGTGTAGCATGGAATATGATTTGGCATTGCTGGAAGATTGGACAAAACAGTGGAAACTGCAGTTCAATGTTTCTGAATAAAAAATAATGCCTCTAGGGAAAAAGAATCCTGTGACAGAGTACATCGGGGGTACAGTGCTGGCCAGAACTACAGACGAAAACATTTGGGAGTACTTATTGGAAATGATTGCAAAATGTGCAAACAGTGTTGACAGGCAATGGGGAAAGCTAATAGAATTCTAGGATGCATCACTAGAGGGGTCACTAGCAGGAGGAAGGAGGTTCTGTTTCCCCTACTGTGTCCAGTTCTGGAGACCTCACCTACAAAAAGATATTGATATAGAATATATTGATAATGAAGATAGAATGAGTCCAGAGACAGATAACAAAAAGTGGTGAACGTTCTGGAGGATAAAACATATCATGAAATACTTCAGGAATTTAAAATGTACAGTCTGGAGGAAAGAAGAGAAATGGGAGACATGACTGAAATCTTTAAATTCATCAATAAAGTTCAGGAGGGCAGTATTTTTAATATGAAACCATCAAGAACATGGGGACATGACCTCAAACTAACAGGAGGAAAGTTCAAAAACTAATCTTAGAAATTATTATTTTACTGATATAGTAGCTGATGCTTGGAATAAACTTCAGCAGCAGAGGTAGTGAGTCAATCAACAGCATGTGGCTCCAAACATGCTTGGGACAAACATAGATCTATACTGAGACCAAAAAAACAAAAAACATACTGACTCAATAGACCCATCTACCATCAATTTTCTATGTTTCTACAGTATATGTGCATGATGCACAATTTTCACTGACGGTGCTTATCAGTTTTAAACTGCATTGTGCATTTGGAAAGACTACAATCCTCCATTATGTAAAAAAGTATCTAATGGTAAATTTGATTGCAAGGGTTTTTTTATTACTTTGTACACTCTAATCAAACATGAAAATTCAGAATTTCAATTCACTCAGGGGATAAAATTGGGTTGGTACTTTTTCTGTGGCACTCATTTTGGCGGATAGCTATTTTGATATTAGTGCCAGTGTAGGGATCTGCCGCTCTCTACTGTCTGCATTTGTAAACGCTGGTGCTTGCTAATTACCACAGAGTTAGCTGGTTATAGACAGGTACTTCCTGTTCTGCTAGCTGGGTCAGAAACCCCAATTAGAAGACTGTGATATTTTATAAAGGTGGGATTTCAGGAAGTAGGGAGAGAACTGAGCCACATGACCTTATATACACACAGGAGCTGCTGCTACTGCTGTATTTCACACAGACCAGAAGCAATGACTATTTGGCAAGTATTCATACATTCTAATAATAGCTGTATGTAGCAGCCATTTTGTTCACGTCACAAGTCTCCCATGCCATTTTGTCATAAGAATGCATATCTAAAGTTACTTTTCCGCCCTCCTTTCTTCAGTTTATACGGTACACAACTGTTAGCCCATGCCAGAACCTCCTTATCAGATCCTTAAGGAGACATAGGCAGATCCTCTCACGCCTATTAGCCTGAATCCACACTTCAGTCTACAAACCCCAATAAAAACGTCAGACTTCCCAAGCCTTAGTAACTAGAATTTTAACAGATACTCAGTTAATAGCTCAGCTAGGGGAATGGCCAGTATACATTCCTGATAAAATGGTTATCAGCCAAGACTCTAAAACTTTAGTATATTTCATAACTCATTAAATAATAACAGCACAGCCAGAATATAGACATATTTATCTCCCTCAGTTATTTTGTAAGCATATTGAGCCTAAACATTGTTAATTTAGGAGTACCGGGAACAGAACCGGCCCAATTGATCTCCTAGGTCAGGGGTAGGCAACCTGAGAGCCGCAGGACTACAAGTTCTATCATGCCTCTGCAAGTCATAGCTGTAACTGTCAGTTTTGTCATCTTTGCAATGCCTCATGGGAAATGTAGTTCCACAACAGCCAGAGAGCCGCAGGTTGCCTACCCCTGTCTAGGTGAACTGGAACCTGTCATATTTATATTCATCCGAAGCTAATTTCACGCTGAACAATAATATGCTTGTTTAGCAGTCTGTAAACAGTAGGTATTCATAGATATGAACACTTACAGAAAACTGTCTCTGGGACTCGATCATAAACACGGTGACATCCCAGCAAGCACCCCTTAGACCAGATGATTGCTCAGATGGTCTCTGTCAACACCCCCCTTGATGATGTGAAGAAAAGTGGAATGCAACCACATTGTGACAGCTCTCATTTAACATCAAACCAAGGAACACCTAAACTGTACTTGAGAGAGCCACTGTGCCATATTTTCGCATCCATTGGAATCTGCTAAAACCAGGACATTGTTAAGTATTCTCACCCTCAACTCCTTATTTCTCTGTTGCATTGTCGTCTCTTTGTTACTTTGTAATATCTTTGTTTTTTTTTATAAATATTTTATTTACTATTTTGACCTTTTCATTATTAAACCCAATTTTGAAAAGTGTTTAAAAATGTGAACATCCTCAGGGGTTCTGCAATTGAACTTTTCTACAACATTCCTCTGGATGTAACTATATAAACTTGGGTATATGTGCTCAATTCCAGCAGGACTCTTGTTGGGCCCTTTGCTGATAATACCTGTTTGTACATTGGATGTATGTACTGTTATTAATCTTTTCTTAAGTAAAACTTGTATTATTTTTGCAT